GTGACATTTCGCTTAATAAAGATAAGAAGACAACTTATAACAACTTTAACCTTTAAAACCAGAAGATCTACGGTGTGTTTTAACTCAAAACTCTTTTTAAAGATGCACATTTGCGTTTAATTCTTTATTCTTAAACGGTTCCTAAGCGCTTAGATTTACGCTCTTATTTGCTTTTCCATAAGTATACTAGACACGAAAACTAACGAAATACGCCGAACATTCACGGACGTGTGATAGATGTGTCGTTCTGGATTTCATGTTCGCACTATGTGAAATACAGTTTCTTTTTTCTTTTGGTGTATCACCAACATATTTATACTGAGATCGATCATCTTTAAGCTCTTCTATTCACTGGAAGTCTTTAAACATTAAGCTAACGGTGTTTATCACCGGGCATCTTTCACAAAAATGTATTAAAAATCAATAAAAATTGAAAATTGTTTTCCGCAGGGATAAACTCCTAAACAGTAATTATAAATCTGTCTTATTTTGTAAACAACTTTTACATCGACCGTCTTTTCATATTGAAATTGTGTCGTATGGTGTATAAAGAGAAGATTTATTGACTTAAATATATTATGTATAACTTCTTTTGACGGATGTCAAAGGTTTTTTATCAAGACTAAATGCAAAAATGTAACGCCTGGATTTATCGTTCGTTTAAGACTTATTAATTTCTTGTCTATTAATTGAACAAACTTTACGCTCTCAATGCTCAAGTGCTAGTGTCAATAACGGAATTATACATCTTCTATGGAAAAAAAAGCATACACGCACCGGTGATCCATTATTCTGAAGGAAGATTCTTTCATATTCGTTTATATTGGTACGTACATTCAATCTAGGAGTATCAGGAATTCAACTTCTTGGAAAATATAAGTTTGAGAGTTTGGAACGTAAAATCGTCTCATAAATTGAAATCTTAGGTATTACCTATTTCTCTGTTTTAATCACACATCTATGTTTATACTACATGTAGTTTGGACGCATATTATTTTTTTCCAGGATTTAAACCATAACCAAGCTAAATATCGTAAATGGATATGTCCATCTATTAATCTGGACTAAAGCATTCATCACTTTTATTACTAACATTTTCAAAATAAGTACTGTCTGAATATTGAACAGTGCAGACCATGATCTGCCAGACGACACGGATGTGCCGGCTTATTTTGGTCTGCACTGGTTGTTGCCGATAGCAAGCTTAAAGGTTAATATTCAATACATATTTATTTTTATGACACATAATGCTGTTCGTTTGCCTTTAAAAGATATGTTGATGTTTATATGTTTTTCTATTATACATTGCTGTTTATATCCTTCCTATGGTACATAGCTGTTAATACGTTTTTCTATGATATATTGCTTTTTATATGTCTTTCTATGATAGATTACTGTTTTATATCTCTGTCTATGATACATTATTGTTTATATGTCTTTCTATGATAGATTACTGTTTTATATCTCTGTCTATGATACATTATTGTTTATATGTCTTTCTATGATAGATTACTGTTTTATATCTCTGTCTATGATACATTATTGTTTATATGTCTTCTATGATACATTACTGTTTTATATCTCTGTCTATGATACATTATTGTTTATATGTCTTCTATGATAGATTACTGTTTTATATCTCTGTCTATGATACATTATTGTTTATATGTCTTCTATGATAGATTACTGTTTTATATCTCTGTCTATGATACATTATTGTTTATATGTCTTTCTATGATACATTACTGTTTTATATCTCTGTCTATGATACATTATTGTTTATATGTCTTACTATGATAGATTACTGTTAAATTATATCTCTGTCTATGATACATTATTGTTTATATGCCTTTCTATGATACATTGCTGTTTTATATCTCTGTCTATGATACATTATTGTTTATATGTCTTTCTATGATAGATTGCTGTTTTATATCTCTGTCTATGATACATTATTGTTTATATGTCTTTCTATGATACATTACTGTTTTATATCTCTGTCTATGATACATTATTGTTTATATGTCTTTCTATGATACATTATTGTTTTATATATGTCTTTCTATGATACATTATTGTTTATATGTCTTTCTATGTTTTATCCGTCTTTCTATGATACATTTCTGTTTATATGTCTTTCTATTATACATTATTGTTTTTATGTCTTTCTATGATACGTTGCTGTTTATATGTCTTTCTATGATATATAAGTATTATTACTATGCTTTTTCGGCATTTAAATGCGAACATTGAGCAATTTATATGCCTTTCCTAAGACAGTTCAATGATTATATGCCTTTTTGTCTTTACGTATATTTGCAAACAATCATTTTAATCAAAAGTTACTAAAGCTTAAATAGTGTGCTTAAACTATGTAAGCGAAAATTCCATGCTATGAATTTGAGTGTCAATACATAAATACAGTTGGACATTATAAACAAATAAATTACCGCTGTAAAATTTCTTTTATGTGGACAAGAAAAACAGTAAAAATGCAGATTGGTGTTAATTAGATTGTAGGAAATTAATTGTCTAGAATTGAGACGTATAAATGCGATATAGAACACTGTAGGGTCATAAATGTGACGCATTTGTTGGCAAAGGTGAAAGTTATCATACTGAGAAAAAAGGAAGAAAAACCACCACATACACACATGCACGCACGCACGCACGTACGCAAAGCTCCAAACTATAGGAAAAACGAAAAACCCAGAAAATATGCAAAAATAAAAAACATAAGTCTTACAGTATGCAGACATTGCATCCTGAAACCGAATGTACCGTAGTGTTTATCTTATATAAAAAAAAATAATAAAATGTTTCAGCACGTCTTGAATAGCCACTTACTGTTTAAATTTAGCGGCGTATAACCGACACAGACACTTAGCGTTTTCTGACCTTATTGCTTGTTCATTTATTTTTGTCATAAAATATCGCGGACAACAATTGAAAGGTAGCATAAGGTTGCATAAAAGTCGTACGTTTGATCAATAAGGCCAGCGATTTCAATTAAAGTCGTGATAAATCAAAGTGTTCAATAATGAAATCTTGCCGACCTGAGTGCGCTAAACATCAAATATTTCAGTGCTCTACAACACAACATAGTACGAACACCGGTAATATTATCTATTTATAGGCAATATGAAATAAGAGTTGTCGCTCTTTGAAGCCATTTGCTTTTGCTGAAAACACTTTGTGTTATATTGCATTACAGGACATTCGTTCTTTCTATCACATTTTCAAAAAGTTTACTTAAAAATCCACCCCATCCATGTGATTTTTTAAAAATAAAAATTGATTAGGAAAGAAAAAAAAATGGAATACAAGTAACTTGCATCAGGTCGGTGCACGGGAAAATGATACTTAAGAAATATTATTATGATGATTAATATGATAAATATCGACTAAAAGAGGGTAAAGGCACTTTTCTCGTGCATTAACAAAAGCACATTTCGAACCTTGAAGGATTTAAAAAGTGCGGGGGTATTTGGTTATGTTAATGCACGAAAAAGTTGCGTCAGCGGAATCGGTAATTCCGCGTGAGAGAAAACACAGACCCAAAACGTTAAATTTGAAAATGTGTGCACGCTCAGTTTGATTACATGGACGGTAGTGATAATTGCAAGCTACAGTCAACGCCCGAATGCAGAATACACATTTAAACATGAAAATGGTGAAAGATGAAAGTAAGAAACATCCGTAGACACTAACATATACTTAATACATATTTGTTACGTGAGAGGATATTTTCCACAGTGACGTCATTTGAGAAAAAAAAAAACAGTATGGCGGCTTACATATAAGCCCGTAATCTTTAACTCTTTCCCCTAAAAAGACATTATTTGTTTGAGGAGGCTTAACTTATTTATATTCATAAGGTAGTATCAAAAATTGATAGAAGACTGGATATATATTATATACTGTCTATTCATAATTCATTTAATTCATAAATCAATCAGTATAAGCTAGAGATCATTTCTAAAATTAATTACAATTCCTGCGTGCCCTTTCAGAATATCTCCAGCTTTTCATGTTATTTTAACCCCCCATGAAGGGCATGTATTTATTTCTATACGCGAAAAACTCGTGAATTATCCGAAAAGTATATTTACCTTTTCCTTTAATTTCATATCTGAAGTGTTTAACTTCATTTAGCTCTTGAAAAATATTGTTAGCTAAATATACGATGACTTTAAAAACATTAATTTTCTTTACGAATCTTGAGTACTAGTATTGAATGCAAAATACACATTTACAAATAAAAGCAATTCACGTTTAGGAAAGGGTTAAAATGATTGCTTTACTCTATATCTTATGCAGTGACTTTAAACAATAACTTGCTAGAAATATGAGTCAAAATTCAAAATTTGGCACGGTGCCATAGGTTTCATCCGAGATATCACATTGTCATGGCTACAGATAATTCTTTTTCGGGTTACTCCTGTCAACAATGCAAATAAGACTCGTATTGTTTGACCAAAGGTCAAGGTTAAACCTGAGGGCCAAATTCTTAAAGTAAGGTGCGTTATTGCTAGTCAGACCATAAAGTGTTTCCAATAAAACCGAGCCTCAAAGAAAGATAAATGTTCTTTATCAAAGATAAAGGATATTTAGGTATATATCTACATATACTTTCAAAAATTGCTGAAATAAAGTTTGTCTGGCGATCAAGAAATTCCAATAAAATGTTCAACAGATAGTTGCCTTTTAGTTTGTTTGTTTATTTGTTTTTGTGAATCTGTTCGTAAAATAAAAAAAACCAAATTGACAGTCAAAGGTCAAGGTTATATATAGAGGCCAGAGTGTCAAAAAACTCTGAATGTTTAGAATTAATCTAAATGTAAATGATAAGGTATTACTATGGCAAATATTAGTCTTTAATTGATGTCAAAGATTAAAATAACTATAGCTACAGTTTAATAAGTGTACTATGTTCTTTGAAACAAATTGTACCTTTATTTCAATAAGGACATGCGTCGTTTTTGTTTCTTTTGTTACAGTGCCAATCAGAAACGCACGTGCAGTCAGGAACTCCTCGACAAAAACGCCCACTATCTATTGCCAAACTTACAGACGACGGAATGACCAGCGCACGTGAGAATGTTTCCAGGCGGTTGTCAAATAAAGATAACAATAGTTACGCCCAGTCGTCCGATTATGCCACGCCCAACGATGATGTATCCGACGACAAGAAGTCTAGGTCTAAAGAAATGAAGGTGAGCATATAGTATAAAGTATGGTGGCTGATTTGTGCCATTCGTATTTTCGGCCCGCGACTCCGCCAAGCGAAAAGTCGAAAATTAACAAGTAAAAACGGCGGACTCGCGGGACGAAAACACGCTAATTTGCGGAGCTCGGGACGAAATTTTGTTTATTAAACTTCGCCTCGCGCCCTCTCTAATTAGTGACTTTTCGATCCGCGCCCCCGCCATTTTGACTAGTTAATTTTCGACTTTTCGCTTGGCGGGGTCGCGGGGCGAAAACACGAATGACACAAATCAGCCACCATAATAAAGTTTGAAACAAGTGAACGTATCTTATCGATTACACTGAAGTTTGATATATATGATGAAACATGTGTATGAATTTACAACGAAAGACATACCCCTTGCTTGAACGCTTGCACATCACTCTTAAAGTGTATCATTTACCATTTGGTTTGCTTAGATTCAGTCAAAAGGAAGGTGACTGATTTGAGCCATGTCGTACTTTACGAAAACATGACTTCGTCGTATTATGGTCACTTTGTCCTATTATCGTGTTTTCTTTTTTGCGCCCCGTGAGAAAGTGGTGACTTGGTCGTATTATTGTGTTTTCTTCTTTGATTCATTGTCATATCACATATAGAAAATATGAAACTGTTCCAGAAAAATGTATTAAAAGCTCACCAGAGATTGTCTTTATAAAAATTTCTTGAACAAATTTTATATCATATAACAACTCATGTGAGTACATAATGTACCTATATATATCTAAAGAAATTAGAATTTTACATATGGTAATTTTGCAAACCTTGACAGTATACAAGAATGCATTTCTGCTGCTAATGCATATATTAAATTTACACTTTCAACATTTTTCATTATTTATAAAATATATACATTGTAAAATATTATCTTGTTTTCAATTTTATAGGCGGTAGTCATGTTTCCATCCCTGGACCCGGAAGTATACACAGCTACAGGCGAACTGCGCACGTGCCTCAACATGCCGGACTTTGAATCCCGGTGGGAAGAAGCTAATAAAGCTAGCTATATTCGGACAAAACATTTACGCGAACGCGATAGAGAACTTTCCGTACAGGAAATATTTGAAAAACCCAATAAGGGGTCGTCTCAAGAAGAGTTAAGAAACGAACAACAAAGCCAAGGGCCATCTCAAGATTATTCTAAAGGGGGCCCAGGAAAAGGACAATCTACCAGGAGACCGGATTTGTTTTGATATGTGAAAAATATGTGAGATGTATAACTCAACATTTATTTATTATTTTCATTCGAATATAAACAGTATTAGGGATGTAAATGAAACAATATACCAACAAGGACAAAAACAACAACATTTTCTTTTCGAACTGGGTCATCCTTGACGTCATTGTGAAGCGTCAGGACCCTGTAACTTTAACTGTGCAGATTCCGGTGCTTATCTTTTTATATTAGATCAAACCTGTTTGTGTTTTAGGATTTTTGTCTTAGTGAATCTAGTTCGCATTAAGGTTATACATTTGGCATAATATCGTCACAATTCGGCATATTTAGGAACTTTCTGTGTCTTAAAAATCAAACCAGCGTCTGTATTAAAAGGAGCAACAAAATCATGATATCTCCCTGCTTCTGTATGCGAAAATTGACGAAGTTGCCGAATACTCACGAGCTATGGATTGATAATATCCTACCAGTTTAAATGACGTCATGCATAATACTGGCATAATTATGATCTTTTATGATACTGCACGTCTGTATCGTCTCTTTTCATTGGATAATTTTGACATCTATATAAACTATGTACACGGATGCTTTCATATGATGAAGTAAATTATTCTTCCTTAAATTAAGGAAGTTTGCTGCTGAATTATAAATTCGTTGTAAAGATTTAAATTTCTTGACAGGTTATATGACCGTATATAAATGGTTGTCTGCATATACCCAACGTCTAGCGGCTGGGGTTATATGTGAAAACAATCGGTTATATCTCATATGGCTATATTACCTGATTTTTTTTTCTAACAATATAGACCTGATGTCAAAGAAGTGATCAGGTTTCGAGATTGAATGAGACAAACAAAAAATATCTGATTATTATATTTGATAAACAATCGGCTATAGAATCATCAAGGTCTTTGAACGCTGTATTTTAAGCGTTGTTTTTATTCCAGCCGAAGGCCGGTCTGTTTTCAGTTTGACTTCCTGTTAAATTTACAGGGAAGAACCATATTTATGTAAAAATTTCATTGGTCACTTTAAAATAACGATATGAAATCTCGGAATCTGATTGGCCATTGTCAAATAAGCAAAATGACATAAAGGATTTTTTTCTGACATGGTAAACGCGTCTAATTTTTAATTGATCGAAAGGAGTCTGGAAACGTACTATCTACTTTCATAAGTTCTTTTACTATCAAGTTAAATTTCAGATTTAACCATGCCTTATCCTACACATTATTATCGCCGTTCCTGCACGGCGATATATACAATTAACGAGAGTTGAACAGTTCTACCTGTACACCGCCTGTCAGAAGCCAATCAAAGCGAATAATTTAATATCACATGTAAACAAAATGGACGTCAAAAAACTTCCACAAGGGGCGCTTAAATGGATTCGCCCAAGCGTAATGTTTGTCGGGTTACTCATTCGTACAACTGAAAAATACCATCATCAATGTACGAACTCATCAGCACCAGTCTGTAGGCTCTTGCAGGATAAACACAGCAAATTGCAATATTGTTTGTTACATGTCATCTCTGATTAGAGAATGGAGTCTTAATAATTGTATATTTTGTTTTCTTTCCAAAACGTGCACTTAAACAAAGAAAAACTTAACAAATGCCAATCAGAACATCCTCGGCTTTTATCAATAATAACCTCGGAAACAATACGGATTGAAAGTAGTTCAACCACGTGGTTTCAGATGTAAATATAATGTAAAACGAATGTACATATAATTGACACCCAATAGGAAATTAAGTCTGTTTCGGTACTATTATGATTGAAAATATGTCTGACAACCATTTTTGATTTAAATATGCCCGCTGATATACAATTTTAAACAAATGCGACTAAATGTCAACAGGTTGACTTTTGTACTTTCGGTTTCTACAACCATAATAATAAGTATACAAATAATGTATTGTTTGCTTTTGTATCTATGAATTCATTTACTTGATATATTGGAAATAAACTTGTCAACAACTCCCAGCATTAAATTACTATGTGTTTACATGTCTAGTTTCTTAGCGAAGGTTAGACCAAAATACCATATCCGTTCTGTGTATTCATACTTTTGTGTTCGAGGTCCTTATCCGAAGACTTACGGAAAGGACCGAAAAGTTGCGATTGAATAAAAGCTTTTTAATATAGCATGTCGGTTATAGTCCGTTTCAGACAAAGCAGTTGACGGAGAATAGAACGTAAATCCCATTTCAGAGAAGGGTAGAGTAAATCAAGTATTTTTGTTGGCTTATGTGTCGACCTAATACAGTAAATGTACTTTGCCAGAAATAGAATATTATTTCTATATTCATGGCTGAACGGCGATTCCGAACATTTTTGGAAATGCTAATACTTGTAAGTTCTATATTGCCATGCATCTTACATATGATTTTACGCTTTTTGTCAAACATAAACGAAACCACCAAGTACGTCCACTTTCCCGTTTACTCATGTGCATGAAAATAGCGAAAAGCACACAAGAAAACGAACTTATCTGGTATTATCAGTTATATACAAAGTTTATAATTTTCATATATTTTACATATTTATGAAGTATCTATTTAACCGCTAACGATTGAATTGTTTGTTTATAATAAATGTTTGTCAAAGTATTTTAGATAAGAAAGCTTTCTTTCGATTCTTTTTTCGGATTTTAGGTTTCTTTCGTTATTTCCAAAGGTGTTGCAAATCTGTTGATTCGGGTATTTCGTATCAACAAAACGTTGTCATTTATAAACTTTCAATTAAAATTTTGATTGGAATAAACTTCAATTACTTAAATGTTTTTCTTTTTTATATTTATGTGACCAAGCTATTTATAATTATTTATAACTTTTTGTTGTTTTTCCTTCTTTTTTTCATTCAGATTTTAAAATTTTATTCCAGGCTTAATGAGCTTATATTTTAATCGAGATTTTTCCTTCGCTGTTTTTGGCTACTGCCAAACTCTTTTCCGACATGTAGACAACTAAAGTTGTATTTGCATAAAATATTGTAATAATAGTTAACGTAATGTAAGAAAAAAATTACACTGTTTAGTTTCTGACCGTTAGCTGAATGTCTTGTTTCTGTCGTGTTTAATAAGGCTTCTTTGTACACATTTTGATCATTTTGATTTGTTTATGATGGGACGTAATCATTTATAAACCTTGCAATCATCAAGGTTCTGTTCAACCCTTACGCCATTTGCAATGTTATCAGGGGAGGTCACTCTAATCAAATATTTTTTGAAGGCAACAGTTACCTCCCTTTAGAACACTTACGCCATTTGCAATGTTATCAGGGGAGGTCACTCTAACCGACTCTTTTTTGGAGCGCAACATTTACCTCCCTTTGAACCCTTACGCCATTTGCAATGTTATCAGGGGAGGTCACTCTAATCGCCTCTTTTGTTGAAGGCAACAGTTACCTCCCTTTCAAACCTTACGCCATTTGCAATGTTATCAGGGGAGCTTACTCTAATCAAATATTTTTTTGAAGGTAACAGTTAACTCCTTTAGAACACTTACGCCATTTGCAATGTTACCAGGGGAGGTCACTAACCGACTCTTTTAGTGCAACAGTAACCTCCCTTTGAACATTACGCCATTTCCAATGTTATCAGGGGAGGTCACCCTTATCGTCTCCTTTTTTGGGGCGCAACAGTAACCTCCCTTTGAACCCTTACGCCATTTACAATGTTATCAGGGGAGGTCACTCTAATCGACTCTTTTGTTGAGGGCAACAGTTACCTCCCTTTGAGCCCTTACGCCATTTGCAATGTTATCAGGGGAGGTCATTCTAACCGACTATTTTTTGGAGCGCAACAGTTACTTCCCTTTGAACTTAACGCCATTTGCAATTTTATCAGGAGAGATCATTCTGACCGCCTTTTTTTAACAAAGACAACAGTAATCTCCCTTTTTAACATTTATGCCATTTGCAATGTTTACAGGGAGGTCACTCTTACCGACTCTTTTTAGCGCATTAGTAGCATCTCTTTTGAACCCTTACGCCATTTGCAATGATATCAGGGGAAGTCACTCTAACCCACTCTATTTGTAGCGCACCTTCCAGTGGAACCCTTCCCAATTGCAATAATAATATGAAATTAGGCAAAGCCTATGTACGGGGAAGTCGGTATTTTTATTTTTAAAAGTGACATTCGGTTTTTTATACAATGCTTCCGTTTGTTCAGGTTTCCTGTCTTATTTTATTATGGTTCCCATCCAAGATAGCTGCCAATTAGTCCTCGGCTTTTATGGTTATTTTGTTGGCCGAAAAGTTGCGATTTGTCAATTATCGGATTACTCCGCCGTTTATCATTGCGTTACGGTTCACAGCAAGAAATGACACTGAAAATTTCGCTGATAGGTACAGAATTCTATATTTTTTTTATTTTTTTAAATATACACGTGTAGTCTATAGCCGAGCAAGCCAAAGCCCGGGGCCGCTTTGGAACAAACTTTAATAACGTAAATGTTTTTCTTTTAACTGAAACGACATTCACAATAATAGAAACAGAAACTGTAAAAGAATCGCATGACGGTAAAAATTAACTGAGACGAAAAAACTGAGTATGAAATAAATTGTTTTGATTGTAGTGCTTATTTACTTCTTCTTTCCTTTTAAAGGATTAACTTCAGACTTAAGATTTTGTTTCTATCAAAAAAACGTTGCATTTGCCAACATATGCATATGATTTTAATATTTAAGAAATTTAAACGTAAAATTTAATTCTAGGCTCATCATCATGATTCTTATGATTCTTTTTCCATGTTTCCAAAGATACGATATGCAAATAAACCATTTTTTGTTCTGCCGAGTATCTTTTATAAAGACACTTCTTGTTTTTCACTACATTCTCCGTTTTTGTTACATGCCTTTTACAGAATTTTAGATTGGCGGAATTTACTTTTGCATTTCAAATTTCAACACTGTGCTGTAACATTGATTTTTATTATATATTCGTCATATTATGATAAAAAGATGTTTTTGTTTTTCTTTTATAATTCATCATACACAAGTTATATAGTGTTCCATAACAAATTATATGACAAGTTTTTATAAATCCTTCGCTCCTATCATTTGTTCGAGTTGATCGAAAGGTCTTAGGTATAATGTTTGGAGAGCCGAAGTGAGTGCTGCACATTGTTCCTGATATATATCATATCATACATGCATATCATACAACAATTAGCTAACAAAACGTTGATGGTTCTACTCAGGTGTCTTGCTTGAAATAATGTATGCAGTGGCACTTGTGGTCATTACACCAGTAAAGTTGAAAAGTCGCCTGTGGACCTTTAAAGTGACTTTCAACTGAATGACATATATAATTATTGTATCGGCCATTAATACTCCGTTTTGTTCATTTGTTTTGGACCTGCTTCTTTCAATATTGACCCGTGTTTTGGTATTTTTTCTGATTACATCATTTGGCCTTGGACGTTTTTTTTCAAGGTCTCTGGTTGCTAATATGCACTTTTACCCTGAGAGACATTTGTTTATTTTTGTTATTATACTGAACCAACATTTTCAGGTAATTTTTTACCGCTATGCATTAATAATTTATTACTACAAGATCCATTCCCCATTGATTTTTTATTAGGGTAGAGAACTAGAACATTATGTTTTCTTCAGTCTATATAGAGTACTCGCCCCTGGGGAATATTGCAAAAGATATTGACCGGTTAATATTAATTTCCAGGATGATAGGTCGAAATACTAGACACATAAAGTTGTATAGCAAATCTTGACGTCGTGATTTGAAGCATGGCAGAAATACAGAAATCTAAAAAGATCGTGAGAAGTGGGAATTAAAGCTAAAAAAATAGTAAAGATATCCGATTTAAACTGCTTAACTAAGGTTGAGGTGGCTATGTTTACGAGTTTATTCATTAAGTTTAAAGGTTATTTGTTAAGTTAAAGAGGTAATAAATTAAGATTTAGCGGTTATTCATAAAATATAAGAGGTCATTCATTCAGTTTGAGTTGTAATTCATTAAGTTTAAGTGATCATTCATTAAGATTAAGTGGTTATCCAGTAAATATAGTTTGAGTGGTTGTTCATTGTGATAAAGTCATTATATGCTACGTTTTTTGAGTTTGCCAGCTGAGCTCAATAGGAAGGCACCGAAATAGTAATCCATGCAATGCTGGCTTGATTTCGGTCATTGAGTCTCTCAAATCAAACAAACAAACAAACAAACAAACTATATATTTAAGGTGAACAGTATATTCTTTAAAATTCTGAAAAGGGAAGCTTCCCCAAGAACTATGTCAAGCAACAGCTGAACGAATTTCTGACCCGGCGTCGCGTAATTATCACACGCGTGGTAATATTATCACGCGTGTGATTATTACGCGACACCGGCTTTAATGATTCTGTTCCTGAATAATAATAATGTAGAATTGAAGTGCAATATCTCTTACGCCTTTACACTCATTGCTACTGGTTGGTTCCAGGTGTGCCTATTAGCTTTTAGTTTCCTACACAACCTTACTCGAATTAATTCAGTATAAACCAAAACAATCACAGTTGAAAAACACAATTCCTACGTTCCATTGTTTATTTTTAAAGGCACTCCGCTGAGGTTTATTCTTTGACATGACGGACTGGATTTTTTTTCGAGATAAATGTTCCATTTGATGTACGTCTACACCAATAATTTGTGAGCAAAATTGCAGATCATTCACTCACTCAATTTTTCAAGAATAATTATTTCATTGTGAAAAAATGAAGCATACTTTTCACTCATATCAGACTTAAAACGGCATAAACAATGATCTGAGTATATGTTTAAATTATATTTTGCTTATCTTCTGTTATTTTTATAAGTGTTCAAGTTGGTCTATGTAAGAAATTCAAATTTTATGTGTGAGGGTTTAACATTTGAGTGTATATGATTTAGGTTTGAGTTGTTAATCATAAAAATTTGAGTGACAATTCCTGACAATAATAATTCAATAAAATAATTTTTATATGCATGAGCTAGATTGC